GGGGTGATATCTTCATATCTATTTTATATTTGTATTAGTAATTGTATGTAAGTACTAGGATGTGTGTGTATGAACATACATGTATGTATATATATTCGTATGTATATTGGTTTAGATTTTCTGTTTTCTCTGTTGCTGTTGCTTATATATACTTACAATCTATTTATTGTACGAAACTAGTTTTCATACCACAAATGTATTTGTAAAACATACCGTCGTTGGAGTACTGGTATTTGTATAGTTCATTATCTGAACTTGTCAGCCTAGATCTCAATAATATATATAAGAATGTTGGCCAAGATTTTCTTTTTTTTATATTTTAGTTTTTTTCTTTTTTTCTTTTCTGATTTTTTTTCCTGCATTAAATCCATGATTCGAACGTGGTAGTCTAGATATTTATATATATAAAAGTCCTGATTCGTTCGTGTTAGCCGATATGTTTTTGGGGATATATTTTTATAAAACGACTTTTCTTGTCTTCTCTCTTTTTTTTCCACCTCAATATAATTCATATTAGGAAAGTGGAAACCTACATAATTGATACTTGGGGTTTTTGTTTGTTTATATCAGACGGTCAGTAAATGTAACATCCCCGAGGAAAAACAATTCGTACTCCAATGGTGGTGAGTTGTTTTCAGAATATACAACATCATCAGTAACATGCAAATTGTGTATTCTAACATTTAAGAAAATACAACATGGTAATGTACAATTATTTATACAAAAGTGTATCATAAATACTCTCCTTAACTCTTTACCCCACTTCAACGTTATCAATACAACGTCCATAACACATCTGTAATCATATACTTAACATAAATATTCACCATTCATACCCGGTTTTCAAAGTAAGCTTCCAGCCATATGGAAATAATTATATGTTTTCTCCCTTATATAACTCAAGTAAATATCAAACCTTATCTCTTAACACCTCTACTTCTGCCTTTCTTTCCTATCGTCCCCCTTATGATGCAACTGTACATTCCTTCAAGTGTTGTCGCCGATGATAATACTATCGTAGCCCCCCATGCACAAAAGCACGTTTTCAATATCCATCCGCCATGAATGGTATTGAGGTATTTTCACAGTAAATTAGCAACTATTCCTTTAGCTTTTATTTAAAAAAAAAAACATGACCAGGATAACTAATATGTTCTTGATAACAAATATTCAAAGTTTTATATTTACATTATGCTTATTCCTCCTTCAAAGCGTCATTGACGTTAGCTTATTCACCACCATTCGTCTATTGTTGTCTTTATCAGGCGATGTACATCCTAACCCTGGTCCTAATTCATCAATAAACACTACTTGTGTTGATTCTCTTAATTTAATGCACTTCAATATCAGAAGTTTAAGAAATAAAATTAGTTGCTTAGAATCATTAACAGATGACATGAATATCCTTTGCTTAACCGAAACCCATTTAGATCCCAGTATACCCAATATAGATATCAAGATAGACGGTTTTTGTGACAATCCCTTCAGAAAAGATAGAAACATGTTCGGTGTAGTAGTAGCCATTTATTATTCACCATCACTTGCTGTTAAACGACGAAGAGACCTTGAATGTTTAAATGATGAATTTATATGGGCCCAAGTTAGTTTCCAAAATACGACATATTTGATCGGAAATCTCTATAGACCACCTAATTCAGTTGTCACGGACGTTTTGTGGCAGCGCATGAAGCACTCCATTGATTTGGCATTCGACATTACCAACAATGTAATACTATTGGGTGATCTTAATGTTGATTTTTTGAAACTTGGGAACCTCAAAATACGTTTTCTACATTAAACATGACGAATATTATTACTGAGCCAACTAGAACCACTCCTTCATCCTCAACTTTACTTGATCCAATTATAATTAGCGACAACATAAAGGTTTTTCTTTCTGAAGTTATAGTAGTTGATAAAATTATAAGTGATCATGATGCTGTGTTTGCAATTATAGATGTATCAAAACAAACAGCAAAAACGTTTAAAAGAAAGGTATGGCTCTACAGTGAAACCAATATTGTCAAGTTAAGAACACTTATTAATAATTTATTATGGGAAGATCAATTGAGAGTCCTTGTAAATTTGAATAGTATGTGCGATTTTTTCACAACCAATATTTTACATGCAGTAGATGAGTGCATCCCCTCCAAGTATGTTCAAATTCGTAAACATGATAAACCGTGGATAAATAATAGCGTTCGTAAGCAAATTCGTACGCGTGATAGACTTTAAAAAAATACTTCTTCGAATAAATACTGATATGAATAAACAAAAATATAAACATGCCAGAAATAAAGCAA